TTATTATTATTTATTTTTAACTTTCATAATAACGAAAACGGGTGACAATCATTTTACTTTTTATTAAACCTTTCGTGGACCCCCTGATATTGTCCATGCATTCCAAATTAATTTTAATTTGTCAAGAACTCCCAGGGGTTTGTAGGAACCACTTTGAGAAACATTGATCTAGATCAGGGGTCGCCAAACTTTTTTAACCGTCGACCCTCAACCACTTTCCAAAGCCTCACATTGACCCCCACCGTAAAGTTTTATTACAAGTGTATGTGTATGAGCAAAAAAAAAGAACATTGTGGTCTCTGTATGAGCAAAAAAAAAGAACATTGTGGTCTCTGTATGAGCAAAAAAAGAAAAAAAAAGGTTGTGACCCTTTAGCCGCATCGACCCCCTAATCGACCCCCAATGATGTTGCATCGACCCCTGGGGGTGAATAATGACCACTTTGGCGACCCCTGATCTAGATGGATAAACTGTAGATTATTGTAACCTATAATTGCATGATGAAAGTAGACACTATGTATTGTATCTCTGCACATTACCAAAAAGTAAAGCTGGCTGCTAAAAAAGATCAGAATCAAAATAGAAATTGAAACTGGAAACATAAGGGACAAAAAATACTAAAAATTTAATGCTGGGAGCATAAATGCTATTGATTGAAGGTGTAATAATTGGTTGGGTAACCAACTTCTGAATTCTAAACTTAATGCTACACTGTTATTAATAGATATAAATCTTCCATTTTAAAGTTTGCTACTACAAGAGTGAAGATAAAAATTCAGTCACTGGAAATGTGGATGAAATGGAATTCGCAAAAATGTATGCAGAAAATAATTTTTACTGCCAAAATGTGGATGCATATATATAAATGTTACCCTAGATATTCAGAATTAATTACTGAAATTTTTCTGATTAATTTAAAATAAGACTTTGCTGAGAGATTTGGAACATTTTAATACATTTACATTTATTTAGGAAAAGAAAAGTATGAAAATTACCCTGTAAAATTCTATGAGTTAATGAAAATCTTCCAAATTTTTAGTCTTATTTTTGCATTTGACCTGATAATGTTGAAAATTGGTTAGTGTCAAATAATTGGAACATAAATTGTGGGACAAAGTTTTATCAGAGTGTGAGAATTATGAGAATTTCTTGTATTTAAAGTATGAATTTAAGATTAGCATTTGATACAAAAAATTCTTCTAGTAATGTAATGTGATGGCATTTAAATAGATTTGAGCCTCAAAATTACATTATATGTGATCAGATTTGGAGTGTTGTAACTCAATTATAAAAAATAGAGTCTGGATAATGTAGGAAAATTATATATCAATAGATATTGATTTGTTCCTGCTTTCCTAACATTGCAATGGCTAGCTTAATTTAGAATCATTGAAAGAATTATCATATTTTAAGTATTGGGACAGAGACATTTGTGAATCTGTTTAGGGAGAGAATTTAAATATTTTTATGTTGAGAATTGCTGATATTTCTGTAAAATAATTCACATCACATTTAAACAAATAGTTATAGTTTAAAGTTTTTATAAACTTTTATATGAAACTAGCTGTTACCCATGACTTTGTCTGCAGAGGTTTTGCAAGCAAACCCCATTTACATTCAATATTTCAACAACTATAGTAATTGTTATATAACACCTACCGCCGAGAATGACGAGAATTGCCGAGAATCAAACGAACTATTTTCAATTTGATCAATTTTCTGGAACGTTTACAATTGTTCTATAATCGAACCAATATGCAATAACAAATTTGAATCTAAAACAGTTTGAACATTTTTAAAATCGAAATAGATAAAAATATTTATAACAATGTCTGAAATGTTATCATTTTAATACACCTAAGTACTCGATGAAGATTAAATCCTCTCCCTCTCCCGCCCACGGGGGAATTTCGAAAAATCCCTTCTTAGCGTGCATTCCCATGGCATACCCTACTAAAACGCAGATAAAAACAAAAAATTGCATATAAAATAGTGCAGTAGAAGCTGTTTTTCTGGTTAATCCTTAATCCTCTCCCTCTCTCCCCACGGAAGAATTTCGAAAAATCCCTTCTTAGTGTGCGTTTCCATGATGTACCCTAACTGTCTACCAAATTTCACCTCTTTAAGTTAAGCGGTTTGCACTAGGCAATGATGAATCAATGAGTCAGTCAGTCAGGATAAGCAATTTTATATATTTAGATACATGCAGTATTAACTTAAATGTGATACTAAACTGTGCAATTAATTGTCAGTCTTTCTGATTTATGTAATACAGTATTTATGGACTAAATTAACTTAATTGAGTATTAAGACCTGTGAATTTATTATTATAAATTCTTAATTGATTGTCATAAAGAATAATGAAGAATTTATTTTTTAAATTAAAAGAAAAATACCTGCCAAAATATTAAAATATTGTAATTTCAGATGTTTTATGCATACTTTGTCATGGCTTTTGAAATATATTGATGGATGACTAACCAGTTATAGTAATAACAGATAATCAGTATTATTTTAGATATTAAATTAAAACAGTGCTAAATTGCTTATTATTTTTGTAAATAGGTCAAGGATTTCTGTCAGAAAATTTAATTTCTGTTTTTAAGAAATGCAGTTGCTATAAAATAGACAAAATAAATTATTTTTATGGATTTTTTTTTGTTTTAAAACTTGCAAATGAATTTTTAAAAATATAAGTTTCTAATTAGGAAAAACAATTTAATTGATACATTGAATTTGTTACGATTTACATTAAATTAGATTGGTGAAAACATAAATCAAAATTTAATCTGTTTTTAATCTCTAATCTTCATGATTTTACGATAAATAGAGAATAAATAAATTTTTGACTATTAATGAGTGATTATCTTTCTTTAATAATTTGGAATAAAAATTGTGCTGATAAAAAGCTTTGTTAACTCAAAGTATTGATCTATACGAATAAGTCAATAATATGGCAATAAATTATTATTGTGATCTAAATGCTCACGATAATGATTTATGGCCATATTAGATTAATTATTTTGAATTATGTTTTTGGAGTAGTTTTCCACAATGTGCTTGGATTGTGCTAAAAAAATTTTAATTTAGAAAAATTACACAATTGGAATGACTGTTGACAAATGTGTGTTGTTTTGTTAATTTTTTAAAACAAATCTAGTTACTTAGATTTGAATAAAGTCCAGTTTAGATAGTTTTCTAATTTTTAAAATGAAAATTTAAATTTAGATTTTGGTTAAATTATTAATTAGATTTAAATTATAGATATTTCTTAAAAATAATTCTTTTAGAAAGATTATGAATTTTAAACATTAAGAATTAAAATGCATTGTTTATTTTAGTGGGACGATAAATACATCTACTTAATTATGGAATACTGCAGCGGTGGTGACCTGTCACATTTTATTCGTCAAAGGAGAAGACTACCCGAAGTTATTGTCTGTAGATTTTTGCAACAATTAGGTTGGTTTTTCTCTTGTTTTAATGTTAAAGCTAATAGTAATTTGGTAGAATATTTTTTTTAAGCCTTAATTCAGTTTCAACTTAATATTTCATTTTGAATTCACATAACACTGGCATAATTTTAAAAATTAAAATTGAAAGCTTAAATATATAAAACTCCACAATTTCATTTCAAATTAAATTATAAAAATACTTTAATGGAGGAGTAAAAATATATACAAACTAAACTGTGAATTTGGTAAGCATTTTCATACTAAACACACGTTAGGATCAAATCTTACAGATTGATTTTTGAAAAACTAAATGTTAATTGTACATCATCATATATGTACAGTCCTGTCCAACATGTTGTTCAGATTATTGGGACATTGCCATTTTCTGCAGTAGTCATACTGCAGAAAAATCGATCATTGTTGTGTTGAATGCATTAAATGTGCCAAGCACTAAACTCTTTGAATGATTGCCAGTCTCATTTCCATGGCAATGGGTCAAAATGCTCATTGGAGAAATTAAAATTAATTGTCAAAATGTGTTTTGGCAAAATTAAACAACTTCTATGTTGTACTAATATATTATGTTTTTTGACAAGTAGTGTTATTACTAATCTTTGTTGCTGTGATTATCTTGATTATAATTAATATTACATTCTCAATTATACTTGAGTTTATTATATATTTGTCAACATGGACATTAATCATTAACAGGACAGTTATACTGGTGTTAAGCATTTACACAAGAATTGAGGAAAATGTTCTTAGAGAAAACAGACTTTCTTTATTAAGCTAACTGTACACATACAACGATTATCATCTGTGTTTCGGGCCATCATGCCCCTCATCAGCAGGATTACAAGGATTACAATATTTGACTATAAAATAATAAATAGATAATTAAAAATAATAAATTTGAATTAATGGATGAAAAAGAAGTTGTTTATTCGTTTAATTGCTGTTGTGATCCTAATTAAACTCAAAAATTGAGGAAAAAGTTCTTAAAGAAAACAGTCTTTCTTTATTAAGCTATCTGTACACATACAATGATTAACATGTGTGTTTCGGGCTATCATGCCCCTCNAGATACGTTTTCTCAACTAGCGGATAAAATAAAGAGTACAAAGCCAATTCAAGTAAATAACAATCTTGTAATTTTGTAATGCTAAATTTGACATTATTAATTCTTAAGCAATTGTATTTAATTCTATAATTTACAATTGAAACAGATAATTTTCGCCCAAATTTTTTTCCCACATTAGTCATATGGAAAAACTTACGATATACAGGCATCCAATTACCAACAATAATTGGTTTTTATATTTAATTTTACATTGCTTCATATTCCTATTTAAAATTAAAAATTAAAAATGTTCCAATAGAACTAAAAAACATGTTAAAACTACCAATTTTGTTAAAAAAGGTTTACCTTTACAATGTTCATTCTATCAAGTTACACAATACTGGCGTGTGTTGAACTTACCAAGATATTAATGCTCATTCGTTATCTAAGATGGCTGCCCATGATTGGTGGATTATTCTGCCTAAGTTATTATTTATACTATTTTTTTCATTTTTAATATTTATGTGTTCATATAACTGCCTTTTATAATTATTTGGTTTTTTTCTTTATTATTACTGTATCTATTTTTATCTGACAACCATAATTATTACAGTGTTCTGAATTTGCATAATTACCTCTTATGGTGCATATATGCTCTTTTATTCTAATTCCTAATTTTCTTTTTGTCTCCCCTATATAAGTTTTATTATGATCACAAATGCAATTAAGCGAATAAACAACTTCTTTTTCATCCATTAGTTCAAATTTCTTATCTGACCTATATACAGTCGACCCCCTATAACACGGTAGATATGTTCCTGTTTTTATGAATCCAACTTCTAGGAGTCCAGCCAATCACAGCCCGGCACATATGCAGTTTATGGACTACGGCTGTTTGAAAGGTTTCTTCCATAAAATTAATTGATTCTAGACTAATTTGACTGAACATTTCCAAAATACGTATAATTTTTTGGGAATAATCCATATAAACTATGCTATAAACAAAAAATTATAGGATTACTTATCGAGTGTGCACCATTTGACTATGCCTTTGCTTAAGCTTGTTTTTGTTGTGGAGATTGTCGCCGAATGGCGCTCGCATGCTTCCTGATAAATTATTTTTTTGCGAAAAATTCACTGAACTTTAGAGGTATCATTAATATAAATATAATTTTTATGGACATTAAATAATAAATGGTTTTTGGTAGGTCCACTGCTCGTTTAAACTCAACGGTTTGTGCAATCCTGTCGCAACATGAGTCAGCGATGATGTTTTACCGAATTATAGGAGTTTTTTTTTAGCATGTTTGTACGAATACTGTTGCAATTTTTTCGCTGTGATATAGGAATTCAAACTATAGGAACCCATGTTATAGGGGGGTCGACTATAAATATCTTTTAAATAAGTTATTTTTCTCGGGAATTAAATTTACTTTTATCTTTCAAAATATTTTTGGTATATATGTAAAATTTACACAATTTTAGTCTTTATTAAAATTACTATTTTTATTAGCTTGATTATTGATCCAATCCTTCCATTTTTCTAATATTTTTTTAGGATATTCATTTAATAAAAACATTTTATTTGTTCTATTTCCAGCTGTTGGTCCTGTAAATTAGTCATTTTATTTTTAATTTTTTCTATGTACAATTTGAATATATTGAATTTTATAGATTGAGGGACATTAGACTTATAGTTTAATACTTGATATGCTAAGAGCTACTGTTGAGAACACAGTAATGCGATTTAACTTGCTTATAAAAAATGGTGGATGCCACATTGAACATGCTCTATAATGCATTTTAAAACCGATTTAAAAACATTTTCAATGATGTCTTCATGTCTTATTTCGTTTAACAATATTGCACACAGTGCCATTTCCCACAGGTGGTGAGTTTTTGGACTTTTTTTTTCACGGGAAATAAAATCCCATGATGTCCTGTACACTATTACCAAGTTTGATAACATTCTGTCCAGTAATTTTCATTTTATGGCCATTTCAAAGTGGAACTTTAATTATAAACACCCTGTATATATAAAAAATAATTATGCTTTTTCAATACATTATTTTCATGATTAGGAATGTATCGAGAAAGAATTTATATTAATTTACTAAAATTACTAGAAATTATTGATGTACATAATCGAAATTTATTTCAATATATAAATTTTTCATGTGTGATTAAAAAAAATAACTTTTTACCAATAAATGCTTATTTTATTTTAATGACAAGAGTCCTTGAATTATCAATGTACTACATAATTTAGAAACACAAATGATAAGAGTCTTCTTTATTTGAAAAGTATATCTACGGAATAATGATACATACTAATTTATTTATTTTATTTGGAATAAATATTTTAAGAATACTTTGTATAATTGCTAGCTACTGCGTTAAAAGTTCTTCGTTCTAATAACATAACTCACATGGACCTGAAACCTCAAAATATTCTCTTGTCCAATAATCAAGACCCAGTATTGAAATTGGCAGGTTGGTAATATTAATTAATTACTACTAGATTATTTATAAGTGGTTTACATATTATAATGCATTATTTTATTGCATATAAAGATTTTGGATTTGCTCAGTACCTAAATCCTGAAGATAGAGCTACATCTCTGCGTGGTTCTCCCTTATATATGGCTCCAGAAATTTTGTTGAAACATCACTATGATGCAAGAGTAGATCTCTGGTCTGTTGGTATAATACTTTATGGTAAGCCCTATTAATTTTTTAATGATAAGATTTTTATTAATTTTATGATTTTAAATATTTTATAAATTTTTTCAATGTAGAGTGTTTATTTGGCCAAGCTCCTTTTTCCTCAGATACGTTTTCTCAACTAGCGGATAAAATAAAGAGTACAAAGCCAATTCAAGTAAATAACAATCTTGTAATTTTGTAATGCTAAATTTGACATTATTAATTCTTAAGCAATTGTATTTAATTCTATAATTTACAATTGAAACAGATAATTTTCGCATAAATTTTTTTCCCACATTAGTCATATGGAAATTTTTTCAACCTCCAAAAATTTCTCTACATCCTGTATTGAACAGAATAAATCACATTAATATACTTTCTGAACTTTCCCTAGTACTTTTGGATCTTTTGACCCATCTTCAGGATGTAACACTTCTGATTAAAAATTCTATCAGAACAATTGCAGTTTTTAGAAATGATGATTATCCCTGAAAATCAGTCAAAAAGCTGAATGTTTAGAAGATATTAACATACTTTCTGAAGTATCTTAATATCATAAGATTTATCTTCTCCAATAGAGCAGAATTAGAGAGATATCATAAGTATAGTAAACTGAAAATAATTTTACTTCAACACAATTAAAAATAAAGTAATGAAGCTTGCTTCCACATTGACTTTAGACAAAATAAAAGAAATATACAGAAAACAATATTACAAAGTAAATAAACTCCAAAAATAGAAGCATTATTTTTATTTAGTGTTTCTTAATTATGATCAATTTGAGTTAGAACACATTCAAATTCAAGCCATTGAGACAGGCTTTTCCAAGCAGATTTTTCTCAGAGTTATTTTTATTTTAAACTGGTATAAATTCAATTTTATATTAATTAACATAGAATAAATTGAAATTTAAAATATTGTATAACAGCTGTTAAGTGAAGACAATTATTAAAAAAACTCTACAACAATGTTCACTAAATTATTATTGACTAAACAAAACAGACACACTGTATTCTGTTAGAGATACTACTACAGTCCACATTGCTTTTACTGTACAAGATAGATAAGTTTTTGCCAAAAGAACTATAAATAGATATCTTATGTTTCTGTTTTTTAATGTTATATAATTTTACTCGAAGAATATAATATTCTGTTTAATTCTATCTGCTGTATATTGTTGTTTATGCATAATTTTTATTGCTTTCTAAATAAAAATTTTGTTTAGTTTATAATATTGACATCATTCAAAAATTGTTTAATGAAGATTCAATTTATTAGTCTAGATCATTTTAATAATTATTTCAAAGAATTTCATTATTTACTTAAATAATGATAGCATGTAGAGATAATGCTGCAAAATACAAATAAATCTTATGACATTCTTATGCAGTGTCAAAGATTATGCATAAATAAGCAGTAAATATTGAAGCCTAACAATTGCCAAATTATATTGATCTATATTGCTAATACTTTTATTAGTTAAATGCAAAGTAATTTTGCACTAGAGGCAACTATTAGGTCCCATCTCTTGCTAAATTTAATAATCATAATTAAATTAATTAATTTAGAACATTCTAGAAGAAAAGAATTGACCTGAAGCGGGACTCAAACCTGCAACTCCTGCTAACCTTACAGTTATGTTGCCAGTTACTCTACCTGGACTTCATTCAATCTTCACTTTCAGAACTTATTAATTTAGATATAACCATACTCAGTTACTTATGATGCTGGCTAGAGATGACTTGGCACTATGACACTCAGCTGGCTATTGTTGTACTTCAGCATGTTATATATACATGTATATATTGTTTAAATTATATTATTTACTACATATAGATTTTAAAACAAAGTCTGTCTCAGAAATTTACTCTTAAGAATAATTTGCCACCATTAAAATTTATGCATATAATTATTGTATATTTAGATAAATTACAGTATATTGTATACTATTCTAGTTAACAGTGATTATTTAGATTAGAATAAAAATTATAATTAATCATTGTCTAATCTAATCTAAGTAATCACTGTTAATCAGTCCAGGTAGATTAGTATACAATATACTGTAATTTATCTAAATATACAATAATTATATGCATAAATTTTAATGATGACAAATTACTCTTAAGAGCAAATTTCTGAGACACACTTTGCTTTAAATATTTTAAAATATTATGAAACTAAGTTTATCAAGATTTTAATGAAAAAATTAAATAAATTTTAACAGATTATTATTTTCAGCTATTTGAAAAATTATTTTTGTTCATTTTTCTTACATTATAAACATTTTTCTATCACAGAACAATATAGCATTCTCTTAAATAGCATCACCTTAAATCACCAATGAATATCTGTGGGCAGATCTCCCCCATATATATTAAGTACAGAACCCTTCAGTATTAATGAATTATTAATTACAGTATATGATTTTATTGCAATGATATCTCCAAATCATATGCATTTTAAACTTACATACTCAGACATGTATATAAACCTCATTACTAGACATAATTTGTACTTTTGTTTTGTACTGTTTGATGTACTGTACATTCAAATATATTACCAAATGATATTGTTATGGCCTAATGTAAATCATTTCTATTGAGTGTTTAAAACAACATGTGAAACATAATGGCCAAACATATATTATTTTTGAAGCTTCTACTGATATCAAACATTTATATATTCAGGATATTATTCATTTCATATTTTTATGTAATATGGTTTAAAAACCAAACAGATATGCATGTCAAATTTCAATCTGTTATCATTCCTCTCACAATACTCCCAGCCACAGGCTATATGTGTACTTTTGTACCACAAAGGGTCGTGTTAAAGGATGAAGGTTTGGGGTTGAAATAACGAAAAAAATTATAATTTAGGTTACCTGACTTCTGTGAGAAGCTATGCAATTTTTCTGAAAACTGATAAAACAATACAATGATTTTTTATTGTAGACTGTAGAAAAAATTATCATCATCCTTATGTTTAGGAAAATAATAATTTTTTTCAAAATTTTTGACGGGTTTTTTTTTTTAAGCACTTTATATCTCAAAGAAGCCAAACAACAACACAAAGTTATCATAATAACTAAATATATTTATAGTAAATATTTATTAGCAAATTTGACACAATAAAATAAAATGTTAATTTCCTATCAGAAATCTCAATTTTTAAGTTTTCTTTGACAACTTAGATTCCCTATGGTGTAAATATCTCCGACAATTGTCGACATCTCATTTTATCTCTTCTGGAAAGAGATCCAAATAAAAGAATAACTTTTGAAGATTTTTTCAATCATCCATTCATTGACCTGAAGCATATGCCCTCTCCAGAATCGTATCAAAAAGGAGTAAGTTTGCACAGTTACTTATTTTGATTGATCGTTGAGATCAGTAATAAATTATTAACATATAGTTTCATTTAATTTTAGGTAAAATTAATTCAAGAAGCTATATTGAAGGATAGTTATGGTGATTATAATGATGCTATTCAATTATACTGTGAAGGACTACAGTATTTAGTTCCTCTTGTTACTTGTAAGACATTTTATTTTGTTTGACTTTCATACAGTTGAATACAAATCATTCCACATTAACAGAAAATTGTTAATTGCAGTTAACAATTTTAATCATTTTCTTATTTTTGAATTTAGGTATGCATAATATAAATTTCCTTAATTTTCTACATATAGCATGCAAAAATTTCTAGAGGCTTAGCTGCACCTATTTTAAATGATTTTCATGTGGGAAACCTTACTCACATGGCAATTAATGCTTATGAACAAGTCTATGTTGATGGATTTCTGGCTAATCTTATATAATTTTTTCCATTAATTATTTTGTGTTTTTATTCATTTTATCTGAATTCTTAATGCCTTTTAAAAGGAATTCCGATTGGTTGTATCCAATTAATTCCATTTGACGTGCAAAATCTCTTGTATGTTTCAATACGTCATTCTTGTTCCAAAAATGACATTTTTGAACATGTCAAAAACATTTGAACCTTAGTTATTTATTTATTTAATATTAAGAAATTTCTGAACTGTATTGCACAGTTAAATTGATTATTAAGTTATAGAGTACAATCTTTAATAATAGAATGCTTTATAATCAAAAAAGTTTTAAAGTCATATTCATTATTGTATAAATGGATATTATCATTAAACCTCATTAACTGATTTATATTCTGTTGATTAGTTTTATATCATAGGTATTGCAGTAATTATGGTGATGATAAAATGTAATCATTGACACTTTTTATTCTTTGTTTAGCCGAAAAAGACCGGAGACAAAAATTAATTTTTCAACAAAAGGTAGGAAATATGTTTAATAAAATTTTCAAATTTATTTTATACAGAATAATGCAAATTACAGACATTGCATTAACCTCCAATGAATTGTTAATTTATAATACTTTGAAACCACTGTTGTATTATGAAGATAAGATTCAATAGATAATTAAGTTTATTTATTAAATACGTTTATGTGAACAACTGGGGTTAGCCAAGTCACCTATGATAGCTATAAGCTAGTTCACTTTTGTATCTCCCACTGGTGAGGTCGATTGCCCAGAAACACTCGAGAAACTGTCATATAATGCGAGTATCAATACAGCAAATTTTTGTTATTGATTTAAGAGATTTCAGTTATATTTGTAATTATGCACCACTCACTCAATTGCAATTTTAACTTAGGTTGGAAGTAACTAACTCATATTTCTTTGATTGAAATAATTAGTTTCAGGAACAAATCTTTGCTTCAGCATTGCTGCATTGTCTGTATGAGACTATTTATGTGTAACAGTCAAGTCATGATGGGCCCAACCAGTTGAAATCTTTCTTTTCTGTAAATTGTTTGTTAAAATATAGGATACTGATGTTGGTGAAATTCTTGTAGATTCTATAGTTTCTACACATTGCTCAACAGTTGTTTCACATGTTGCTTGTCCATTGTCATTTTTAGCCTTATTGATTTCGGGGCATTGTTTATACTTAAATGTCCTTAAGAAAACAACTAATCCAGCAGGAAACTGTACTCCAGTATGTTGTTTGATCACCGTGCGAATCATGCAAAGTATTGAGAATGTTTGTTGGACTTTTGCCAGATAGTCTCAATCTCGACGATCGACCATTGATCTTTACACTTCACCTTATCTGAAGCCTGTGCATGATTATTTCTAACACTCCTTGGTCCAAAATACCATGTACTACATGCACTGTAGAAATAACAAAGCCACTTGACTCATTCTCTAGTCTTACATTATGATTGATATGTCATTGAGATTGCATCATCCGCTTGTGTTGTTGTTACATTGTTCACCATTATGAAATGACTTTTATATATGTTTGACTGGATTGTAAGTCATCACAAATTTATTTATATCATTTTTTCAATATTTTAATATGTGCACTAAAAAATTTTTTTAAGAATTTTTCCATTTCAAAAAGTTCTGTAATAATTGTTATCTTATGAATTTCTCCTTCAGCATGTTTTGAATTGCATTTATTTGATGATGATTGAGTCAAATTTGAATGTTTGTGCGCTCTATGTACCACTACTATAAATTATTATAAACATAGATATTACAATTCATCCCTTTATTATACAGTAGAGCGTCGTTTATCTGAATCAATTGAGGACTGGGTTGTTCAGATAACTTATTTTTCGGATAACCGATTATGTACGAAAAAATACATTAACCTATCCCGTGTTGAAATTTTTCTCCGTTGCGTGTCGCTTCGCATTGAATTTCGTCGATGTTAAGCCTAATGTAAACTTTTTAAAATAATAATCGTGACTATTGTATCGTTAAAAATTATTCCTTTATTTTGTACAAACAAAATAAATATATTGAAAAATATAAAAACAATAAAAAATTATACTTTAGAAGTTAATTTATTATCAAAAACGTAAAATATTTGAGTAGCCCAAGACATAGCCAAAGATTGCAGCGCCACAGCAGTGGCAAAAATTTAAATTTGCCGACTGGAATTATTTCGGATAATCGACGCTCTACTGTAGATATAATTTTTTTGTTTCTACATTTATTAATATATTTCAGAAGTTAGTTTTAATATAAAAGTCATAATGACTAGAGACATCTAGTTTGAAAAATGTTCCAATGTTGACATAAGATATCTCTGGTCCACAGGTCAAGGTCATGACCCAAGATATGTCAGGAATACCAGGGATACTTGTAGGTTAATGCCCTCTGCTGGCATTACACCACGAGCAATCATGCTATAACTAATCATTTCCATACCTGCTTGAGACTTGTCCGCACACCAAGTTTTGCAGTGATACAACTTGTTGGTGTGCTAATTTTTATGGCAGTGAGTGTATTATCAAATCATAATGTTACAAATGTCATAATTACTTTTTCTTTCAGGTAGAAGAATATATGAATAGGGCTGAAGAACTAAAGGATATGGTGAAGACATCTTCTGAAAAGACTACATCAATAGAAATGTCTGGAAAGTTAGGTAAATCAAACATTTATTAATATACAAATGCAGAATTCATGCACAAGTTACATTGGATACATTTGTAAAGTTAATCAAGCTAAATGAAAATGGTATCACTTTTGTTCTTACTTTTGTTAGACATTTTGTCTGATTTGTGTACAAATGGTTGGTATGTCTAAGGGTTGAAATTGAGAATTTTGCTAGTGTAGTCATTCGTAAAATGTTTTTCTTGGATTTTTTTAAGTAGGCAGTTACTTTTATCATTTCACTTTTTAATCTACAATTTTTACACTTGAATTTATTTAGAAATATAGTAAGACCTTGCTAATCTGAAATTCTGGTTAATTTGAAATCACCAAAAAATATCTTAGCTGTTTCTGTCTCCGAACAAACTATGTAGCTGTTGCATTTGCCTTGTGCTGCCCAGAATACATGATGTGGACGAACCCTCAAAATAAATTTAAAATTTCTTATCAGAGTTGAAAACAAATGCTAATCTTCAGTCTCCTCCTTACTATGTAGTCTTCATTTATTCGTAGAAAGAGGTCAAAAACTCCATGTATGTGAAAGAAGTGTCAGTCATCCTGACATAATATAATGCACTCATCAAACTACAGTATATTGAGAATTTTCATATTAATATAATGTGATTGAAAAATCAACACAACCTGATCATCATATCTGTGCTTTATTGAATATAACATAGCCCTTATAATTTTTTCAGTAGGAGGGTAGCATATGTGCTGCAATTCATTCTACCTCATGTTTGGGGATTGCACTTCGTTGGTGTTGTGAGTGGGATGTCATTTCTCTAGATCGGGCACATATTTATCGTGAAGCAATACTTGGATAAAAATAGCTCAGCAAGAAACTTTCCGATAAATCGTGGCATTATGGATAAAAGAAGTAGTGGATGTCTGTCAGTACCGAGAGAGAGAAAGTGAACATTATGGTACAAATGTTGCAGCTGCCATAAAAAGTCTATGAAATTTTGAATGCACATTATAACAATCATCTCAAATATTTACCTAAAAACATTACAGTGTGCATAAACAACTCTTCGATTTATATACCATTACATTCTACTGTATGTGTTCAGTGCACAACTTTTCAACTTCATCACGCAAAAAATACATTGGATTATCTAAAATTCTTTTTGACAAAGGGTTTGAGCCCCAGTTGGTTTGGATTAGCAAAGTCCTACCAAATCGGTGTCATCAGACACCATTTTATTCACAATGGAAACTAACCACTTCCTTTGTGACTTTCATTTTAAAATGTCATCAATGTAGAGCAAGCGGAACTAAGTAATTATGACTAGTGAGTGTCAAAAGTACCTTGTTTAATCATTAAATTTTACAAACATTTCATTGCATGCTTTATCCATAATTGCATTTTCAAGTTAAGCTACTTACTGACAAATAATCACAATTTTGAAATTTGTATAATATGATCCTTTAAAATATCTATAGATACATTGTAATGTAGAAGAACGTGCAAGATATAGTCAAAATTTGCTAGTTGCAAATTATATAATCGCAAAAAATATATATATAAAAAATAGCTATCGTACATTTTTCTTATATAAAATTGAAGAGTAACTTTGTGAAAAATAGAGTCGTCTTAGATGTCATTTGCAGCCAAGTAATTGAATTGCAACAAATGTAAAAGGCACCAATTTTTCTGTTGTCTAGAAATATTCAATGTATGAGAATAATTATTACATTTTGAACTTTTTGATTTTCTCTATTTTTTTTACTAGAAAATGAAATTCAATAAGAGAATCGTTAAAAGAATTCTTTTAAAATTGTAAGCTTAAATGAAAATTCATTATTTTTAAGTAAATTCTGCATTATGTAGTTTAATTAGTTAATTCTATGCAACAAACATTACTTTCTCTAAGCTCTGTGACCGTGCAATTTCATGGCAATTTTATTGTTTTTTAGCATGCAGTTCTTAATATATGCTATTACAATCACTGGGCAATTTTGAACATTATTTTTAATTGTAAATCATAATTAGATTTTGGATTTTTGGCAAAAATTTTTGTCTGTCAAATTGGGTCCGTTCGGAAATTGCAATTATTTTATTGTTTTCCGACCCATCCTGGAAGATCGACACGATAAAAGCAATGGTCTGCCACTCCGGGTCAGAAATCTCGAATTTTTTTGCAGGCAATCTGTCCCAGATAAGTCAAATCTGACAGGCATGGAAAAAAGTGTTGCTCCCTTAATGTCCTCAAGATGGAGTCAAAAACAAAGGACTGGCCTTAAGTATATTGCCAATCTTTTTTTGATATCTTGTGAATAAAATCTCTTTATTTTTTAAAGTAACTTTAAAGTTTGTTGGAGAGTGGAGCAACAAATTGCCACACAGTTTCAACAATGTCTTGTTTAATCCTGTTTTTTATAGCTCAAGTACACGAATTACAGCATTTACTTATTTATCAAAAAGTGCAGCAGCTGTTAGGGTAAAAGCAGTATTATTTTTTTGTAATTCAAAACCTAAATGTTAATTCTTTTGAAAATTACTTCATAGAACAATTTAATTTTTTAAAAAGAATTTGTATTTAGAAGATGTTTCTCTTTATTTACAGATTTTTTTAAATTACAGTAGAGCATCGATTATCTGAAACAATTTGGGACTGGGATTGTTTGGATAACCAATTATGTACGAAGAAATATTTTAACCTATCCCATGTTGAAATTCATTCAAATCCTTGCACGTCCTTAAGTACCCTCTCGTGGTCACACCGGTGCTGCCAGCTAAAACAAAAATAATATTGGAGTAGCCTAAGACATAGCCGAATATTGCAGTGCCACGGCACTAGCAGAAATTTAAATTTGCCGACTGGAATGCTTTCGGTTGATCAATATTCGGATAATCGACGCTCCACTGTAGTTGTTTCTAGATTTTAGAGCCTATTTAGCAAGGCAAATGGACTTACTGTATTTTAATGCTTGAATTCCCACTTTGAAAACATTGTGACTTGTGAGTCATCTCCTGCTAGAGGGAACGCAGACGATAAGAATATGCAAATATTAACATTACAAATGGTTCTAGCTACAAGACAAAGTTCTTATTTTGATAGATAGTTAAGGATGTTATAATCAAATGGATGCAGTGACCGGCAGCAATTATATACCATACACCAGTTCTTTTTTGACAAGAATGAAAAGAAGATAATGCATCTGTTCTCTTTGCCACTATTCTCTTCTTGTGTTTCTATTTCAAAAGAAAGAGATGCATTTGTCTTAGCTTAAAATATGTCTTCTTGATTAACAATGGTAAGAATTGTGGGATACGAGGAAATTAGAACTTATATTTTTTCCGCGTGTCAAAAGAGAACAGAAGTATTCTGCAAGTAACGTGCGGTGTTACACACCAAACCAATTCACGGTTGAACCAGACTGGCCCGAAAAATTACACCCATGGAAGGGAGAAAATGAAATTGTTCAAAAATGCTCCTTTCCCCCTCATTTTTGCTATAGCAACCAATAAACATTACAAATGTAATACAAATACTGATATTTCTAATTTGCCTTCCTCAACATGAGTCTTGGTTTTGATCATAAAAACAGAAATGTGGCTTTATGGCTTTACTAATTAATTTCTGATCCAACTTTAAAAAAAATAAAACTATTTTGGTTTTTGATCTCACAAATATTTCAATAACTTCTATGAATTTCAAAACCAGAGGTAAAATTGGCCTCAGAGAGGCCAAAAACATTAGAATTTCTTAACTTCAATTGTTGAAGTTGGGAAGTCGACAGATCCATTTGAGATAAAACTACAGTCAACCCTCTTTAGTATGCCACTGCAGACAGTGGCATACTGTTCTTCCCTGTTTTTTGGCACTATACAAGGGTGGCACTGTTTTGAAATTAGAAAAATATGTACTACTGAAAAAGAGAAAATTCAGTATAACACTTCTACAACAGAAATAAGAGTTGAAGTGAAGGAGTAAAATGTACACACACTACAAGTAAATGCAAAACATATTTATTTTGAGACAAAGAAATCTGGTATTAATGATGTTCACCGATTTCGTCAATAATATTATTTATGGCATAAACATGGGCATTACATCAGAATCAACACAGTAAGCTTCTAGGATGGTTCTTACTATTCTCATGCTTTCTTTTGCTTCTTTAGCAGATGGCGATATTTCACTTTTTCAGTCTCATCATCCGAATCAGAATTTTTAGTGTGATTTGCAGTTCACAGGATCGCTTCTATGTTCATTTCTTCAAAAGTTGGCAAATTGTCATCAAGGTTTAAACATTCTTCTGAAGTTAAGGGATTTTCCAATGATGCTGTTGCTTGAAACTGGTTCAAAACATCTGTAAGCTCTTCTACCACATGATTTTGCCGTGATGAGTCATAAACTGACGGAATTAACCCCGTGTGGCTCCAGCAAGTTTGGATTGTTTTGGGTGTTATGGGAAATTATCTTGTCTAGCTGCATGCAGTAATACAATCCACTTCCATCCATATTAGAAATATTTTGCAACTCATACTATCCACTCACATCAGACAATGTTTCACAAGCATCTGATACAACTTGGTAATCCACTTCAGCTATTTCACCTTTCCTGATATTCTATGAAATTTTGTGACTGCTTGACATGCTAACTATATTGGAAGTCTGTAATTCCCATCTGTTTTCCAAATTCTTTTGCTTTATCTATAATTACAGCTTCTGTTACAATTCCATACTTGGCATTAACTTGACTAATTCACATTACTAGGGCATCTTCAAAATTCTCATGTTTAGCAGATCTAAGACTCAGTGCCTTAGAGGAAGGCTCTTGCAGCCACTTTGTTTTTTCTTCCAAGTTGTGTCCAATGCATCTGAAACTGATTGTTTTCTTCCACAAAAAAGAATGCGTTCTGCTATTCTTTGTTGTTGACTAGCATTGAAAAATTTTCTTTGTATAAACAAATTTCATGTTTTTCTTTAACCAAAACTCATTTGCTCATATTGAGAACACTTGCACAACGGCAAATTACAGCAAGTTAACAATACAGTAGAATAGAACACTATGAAAGAGCAACAGATTTCAAAGTAAGAAGTCAAGACTCAATGCTATCTGCTGTGGGTGAAATATACCCAATATTCCAACAGAATAATTCATTACAAAACTGTTTAGGGGAAACGGATTCCAAAGATTTTTACTGGCATTGAGTTGGCATAATGGGTTTTTTTTTAAATATATAGTCGATTCTGTTTAATTGGGCCACCGGTTAATCGGGGCAGACTATTGGGCCAAATCCCAAAGAACGGAAACCAAACTAATAAATTAATACATAATTTAATCACTTAATTGGGACAGTAGCAGAAAAGGAATTTAGCAAGTTTTGATATATTTTAGGGATCTTCTGAAAATATGTAGACACTAAATACACTAATGTTGTGTAGGCCTAACGATTGGCAGAGACAAAGTGATTTTGTCTTTCTCTCGGGCAGTTCAGTTTTTCCAGAGGGGTCGCCATAGCGAGATGTATCACACGGGGATCCTGTCTGAGATGGACCAGAATGCGAGCTACTGATCCTGCTCTGGATTGGACCGGACAATCCCTTTAAAAGCAAAGGGACAAAGATCCCCAGACAATTTTTCAAGGTCTCTGGAGTGAGTTGGAAGACAGCTAGTTGCCTTGGAAAGTATTTTGTGCATAATTTTGTCTAGATTCGAACAGCAGCCATCCGATCGTTGAGACCAGCATCTGGAGCTGGTGGATTCTATGGACGCTTGTGCCGAAGTGGCCCATCTCCAAGTAAAGGAAACTGTGCTCAAAGGAAGACCACAAGGTGACTTTTGGACGAACCCTTTCCTTTCTCCCTTTTTAGTTAGAACATGTTCTAACTAAAAAGGGAGAAAGGAAAGATCGTTCAATCAGAAATGGATCAAACGGTCAACCTTGTGTATGTCACTATTAAGTCCCAATTAAGTGGAATCTACTGTATATACTCCATAGGGAAAATTCGTTCTTCATAAATATATGGCAGTAAATGAGGGTGGCACTCTATCAAGGGTTAAAACAAACAAAATAGAGAAATTACAATAGTTCATCTACAATTGACCAATTAATGTCATTTCTCTATTTTGTAAAGCTACTTTTGAACCATTTAGAATTAATAATCAAACCCATTTGTATCCGTCGTGTTGTAAGTTTACATAAATTGAATTAGTATTGCAGAATCTGACTACGACCTAATGTTTTGTCTATTTTTGTCGATTTCTAAATTGGAAGAATTGCAAGTTTGATATTCTTCTTTTGGAGCAATTTATTTTTAAAATTGCTCATTGCATTTCCAAAAACAGTTTCGTTTGCAGAAATATTGGTTTTGCACTGGAACAATCACCACGGATAATGGATCGGACTCTATGTAGCAAAACAATATGCATTCTTACTCATTTACTTAAAACAGCTTTATGGTTTAAAATATAACTTACAAAACAGTACAGTTGGGGATACGACACAGAATTGACTTCCAATATTTATTATGTTGTACATCTCTCCGAAAAATTAAAATTTCTTGATTTGCAGCACAGATCATCTCCGAAAATCCGGATTTGGAAAAATCTTTCAGGAAGGCCGAAGAAGCAGAGAATTTGGTACGGACGTTTTACCCCTTAATGATAAATTCAAATACAAAATTTAAAGCTCGAAATGGCAGAAAAGTTCTTAACGTCGTCTTTTCTTTTAAAGAATTATTTAGGAATGCACGAAGAATCTTCAAAACTGTACCGGGAAGCTCTGGAAGTGATGGTTAGTTACGTCAAAGGTAAGTCTAGTGCTTTCGTACATTTTCCTTCTTATCGTACATTTAATATTTCATTACGTCCACGTCGACTTTACTCGCCAGCTCTTCCCAAGGGAGAAAAGAAGTCGATCTTGCTTCGGGAAGTGAGTACCATAAACACATTTACATAATTGCACTTAAACCGGAATCATTCATCCGTCTCCGACAATCCTCCAGGTCGACCGTTGGATGGGAAAGGCAGAAGAGGCAAAATCCAGTTCAAAGGGCCGAAGGCTACGGTCCAACGAGATACTGGCCGCCATGAGGTCCAACATAAGTCCCACCGACACGCTAGGTAAGAACAACACATTTGGATTTCCGTCGGAACGTTTGGCACCGTCTGATCGATATCGTTTCAGGTCAGAACTGTTGCATCCAGTGAAATTTCTTTCCGGAGCCACGTCGGTAAATTATTGCAGAGTAAAGAATCTTCGGACTCGACTAGCATTTTGTTTAATTTATAAACAGATTTTGTAAATATTGTAAATAAAACAGGAAATTTGTTTTTAATAAATTATTTATTATTTGCATAGATTTTTATGCATTACAAACTAAGATTTAAATTTTAAACGAATATACAAATTTTGCTTACGTACTGTCGGATAATAAATTTGTAGACAACCAGATTTTAAAATAATCCCCTCGGATTTCTACCAATTATTATTATTATTACCGGCGAACATCAGAGTAAGCAAAGAATCTTGTTTTCTTCTAGAAAATTCTATCGCAAATCTGCGATTTCATTTGGCATTTGTTATAAACTTACGTCGTCGTCCGGCTTAATAAATAAACTTAACCGCACGGAAAGTAAATTCGATAACAAAGGTTTCCGAAAGGACCACGACGATAAACGAATCTACGTCGACCCCGTCGGGCCGGGGTAAGAGACGTTGGCATCCTCGTCGGTTTCCACTCCGGTCTCCTCCAAGAGCGCCTTCTTGCCCTTGGGATAACCTTCGAGCACGGTCTCCAGAATGTCGCAGGCCATTCTCTTCCTCTTCCTCCACTCCTTCAACGCCGACTCGTTCTCTCCGGCAATCTTCTCTTTGGCTTCGGGCGGAACATCTTTGGACCTGCACTTCAGCTCCTTCAACTCGGTCTCCATTTCTCGGTTTTCTTTGCGTAATTCTTCGAGTTTGTTTCGTATCTGTTCGTCCGTTAAACTATTCTTTAACGAAGCCAATAAAGTCTCTTTGCTCTTGACCTCGCCCTGCAAACCTTTCAAAACGGAAGTCGTCTTGGAAATGTCCTGGTCCATTTTGGCGATTTGTTTCTCGTCCAGCGACTCCATCTGGTCCTGATTCGCGTAATATATCTTTTGTTTTCCGTAAACTTTTTCTTTAATTTCGTTTTTTTCTGCCAGAGATTCCAGACATTTAACCACGGCAGTTTTTCCGTGTTCTTTGTGCAGATTGTTGAAGACATCGATGGCACTGTACGGCCTATTTTGCTTCTTTAGATATTCCAGAACGGCGTCGTTAACCGACTTACTTTTGTTTTTACTCATTTTAAATCGAACCGACCACGCTCCAGACGACTTTCCCTCCGTTTACGTCACGTGATATACTTCTACGGCAGTCCATCTGGTGACGAAATATTAAATGTAATTTGCATATTTGTATAAACGATGTACGATGATGATAAAAAGTGAATTATTATTATTAAAACTTTTATAAGTAACATAATAACCAGAACGATCGATTCTTTTCCGAATTAAAAACTTGAAAAAATTATTAAATAAAAAATTCTAATCACGATCAAGAATAATGTTAATCATTGCTAGAAGTTTGCAACATTATAAAAAAAAAATTGCTATCGCAGACGAATGTTCTAAATTTTTTCTCGGAGATTTTCAGTTAATCGAAATATTGCATCGTAGCGTTTAGTCGCGATGGATTGAAGAAATTCTACTTACGCCTCCAGTCAATTTAACATTCGACTTAAGTTTCATAATTCTTATTTTTCTCGTATATAAATATTTTTTTATCCGATAAGACCACCTTTAAATCTTTGACCTGATGTCGCCATTTTAGTTCCCTTTCGATTCTTTACGTTTAAATCAAAAAACTTTGGCGCTCGTTTAATCGGGATAAATAATAATACTTCCTTTTGGTAATTCGTGGGCTTTTATGTTTTTTCCGTGGTTAGCGAGTGCCCCGTTAACAGTGCGGTAAATTATGTGCGCCAATGCTCGATTATTCGTGTTTTTCACCGGATGCTCGCCCTCTGGTGTTTAAAAACAGAACTACTCTATCTGGGTCGTTTGAATGTTCTTCGTATATTGTCAACGGTAGAGATGAATAGTAAAAGTAAAAGTAAAGCTTTCTGTTGTGTTCCAAATTGTAATTCCAAAGCCATACGCGATCCCGATATAAGTTTTCATGTATTCCCATATGAAAAACAGATGATTTTTCGTAAATCAGAATTCGGAGACTCAGAAATGTAACCGACGGAAAGAGTGGATTCGACTGCTAAGAATTGGCAAAAAAGTTACGAAATGTATGGTAGTATGTTCGAAACATTTTACTCCTGAAGATTATATTTTGTCATGTATACTATCATGTTTTTATAAATATGTTTAGATTATTGTAATTCGATAGTATTAAAAAATCAAACTGAAAAAGATTGCATAGAGTCTAAGTATAAAGTAATTAGGATTTGTATTCGTTTTTAACCTTTTATATAGGATTATCTTCAATAAAATGTAATTCTATTCAATTTTATATGATATGTCGATAAACTTTAAAATTCCAGTAATTTTGTGTGGGATAGAAGTAAATGCTGATGTTTGCAGACAAAGAGCACAAAAATGTACAGAACGATCTTGCTCGTTTTTCTCGATAATACCACATAAAATGACGTGTCCTGCTAGTAATACTTGTTCTCCTTCTATAAAATTTCTCGATGAACTGCTACAAGTAGCATATTTCATTATATCAGATAGTAATATATAATTCATTTTACATTGACGACTAACAAATGACCCAGATAGAGTAGCCATTTTGTAAAAATACAGCGCCCTCTATAGTTCATGAAAAACGCGAATAACGTTTTCTTCGTTTATAAAATATATTCAATTATTAATATTTGTGATTAGGCTTACCAGACGTTCCGCTTTGACAGGGTCTGTCCCGGTTTGATGACGCGGTCTCTGCGTCCCGGTTACTTACTTGATAAAATTTTAAAAGTGCCGAATATACAAGAAGTAAAAATAGTGCAACCCGGGGTAAGATGGCGATACGACAACTAAACTGTCCCCTCTGTTACACTCACTGTTGCCAATCTAAATGTCTAGATGTTTTCCCTCAAAATTTATATCGTGTGGCCTAATGAATTTACATGTTTTATTTTTCAACCACATTTTTTCACAGAATTTGTAATAGCGTGTAGCCTATGAAATGCAGATATTTTTATTTAAATTTTAGATATTTTGTTTCAATTAGAGTTGGAAACACTGAAACTTACACTGGCACGTCATTGTCGCGTACGTCCTATCTTATTCGACTCGATATTTGCCATTATTTCGTGCTGCGCATTAAATTAATCTCCAAAATGCCAAAAAACTGCGCGTTTACTGATAAATTAAAAAAGGATTATCCGGTTTTGAGAAAAGTTTGTGATCGTATTGACAAAGCGAAATGTGAACTGTGCTTTTCAGAATTTTTTGTGAGCGTTCGGACATTAAAAATTACTTGAAATGTGCGAAACATAAGGCAAACCTAGTAGCAGCGGAAGAAACTTCCTCAAATATATTGTCATGTTTTTATTTTCTGTTGTATTTTCTGAAAATTCTTCCGGTTTAAGAAAAAGATATTATGGTAAGCCTATTTTTGATGGAAGGTTCTACGGGAAAAAATCGAATGCGGTAAGTCCAATTACTCGTACTTTTATATAAATAAGTAGAATATTACGGCTCGAAAGCTTAACCGCGTTGTCAATGTAGCGTTATTCGTTTTGCTGGTATATTCTTTTATCTTTCTTGTAATATGTTTAGTAATTATCGCCCTCCCAAAATGGTCACGCTCTTCTTCCTTACCCGTGCCCGAAAGATATTCGCTTTTTACCAACGAGGTAAAAAGCGAATATCCCGAACCGGCCGCCATCTTTGAATCGAATCGAACGTGCGTCCGCCACGACACACTGGAAGAAAGAAAGCTGCGCACCTGCAGGAAATAGCTACTACAGATACGACTGTTCGTCACTTAAATACACAACTTTCGGGTCTAATTTGCAGAACCGATAAATAATATAATAAACGAAATACAGTGATACCCCGAACTTACGCGATAGGTGGGACCGAGCGATAACCGCGTAAGTCGAATTCGCGTAAGTCGGGGTATAATTTCGCATATAAATACATACAAATAATTTTTAATTGGGGCCGGAGACTAAAGAAAACAATAATTTAGAAAAAATGTTTAATAAAATCTTAGATAATACATAAGTATAACAAATTATATTATTATACAATTTTTCACATTTACTCGATTATCACACAATAATTTTAACATTGTTTCCATCTCAGCGATAATACCGCGAAGTTTACAAATGATGCTTGAATTTAAAAATTGAGCATTTTTCACAGCTTCGAGAATTTTTTCTTTACCTTTTATAATTGTTCTGACCGTCGATTCCGGTAGATCAAACTTCTTTGCCAATTCACAAATTTTCATTTTTGTATCGAAGTCTTTAATAATGTTAACTTTACATTCCAGAGATAAAGTTTTTCTTTTATGGTTTGATGCGGAAGAATTAGTTCTACTTCGTTTGGATGACATAGTAGAGTCTCTCGAGTCTCCGTAGATATAACAAACACAAAAATAAATTGTAGCTATGCGTCGATTCCGCGCGACACGTCCGAACATGTAAGCCGAACAATAGTGTGGGGGGAGTGAGTAATCCAGAGTTGCGTGGCGCTCAAACAAAAGACGAATCGACGAGATTTGAAAATCGCGTAACTCCGGGTTCGCGTAAGTCGAGGTATTACTGTAAAACGCTCTGAAAAATATTAAACTAATCTTTAATAATAAATAGTAGTTTCCCGTGATGTGTAAAACTAGTTAAACCTAATTCAATATATACATTTAAAAAAAATAATAATAATTAGCATAGGATAATAAGGGACTTCTGAAGGAACTTTAACGTTTCTTCGGGAATTACGGGATTTTGATGGCCAACCGGAGTAAACGGGCTATATCTAACTTATCGGCGAAACGCGATACCGAATCCTTTTTATACCTCGCCGTACAATTATTAACTCGGTGGCATTTCCGTTATGCTCCCGTAACAATTCCCGCACATTCGGGTCTAAATAATTAGCAATTACGTCATAAATAGTTATCGTAAATCGGCAGGCGACAATCTGTCCACGGTATAGGCACTTTTTGCCTTAGACTGTCGTGGCGGCGCTAGTTTCTACGTTAACTTTTACCCGAATCGGGGTCTAGTAGTTTTGTCATCTTAAAAACTTAAGTTCCGAATGCGAAGTGTCGGGCGCCGGGCATAGAGTTAACGGGCCAAACGATCGTCAAAACTTTCAATAAATTTAAAGAAATTTCAAATTTTGTACGCGGCTCAATTTTTTGGATTCGGGAGGAACGATTCGTTGTCTTTTAAGAGACTTTAACGTCGAAATGCGTTAATTCGCTCGCATATTAATTTTTTGGAATAATTTGATAATTATTTTATATTTTTCTTTAGAGTTTCCGCGCTGTTTCGGTACGATCGCTTTCTAGCGAACGTCCAGAAATATCTTTATATAATAATATATGTTTTCTTAACGATACGAAGAAACAACCTGGCGACATTTTCTTCGCGATGCGAATACAAAACCTTGGAAGTGAATTTATGTAGATTTTGGTACGTATAAAAGTAAACGGCCAAAGTATTTTATCGAACGTATTGAATACTTTGACCGTCTACTTTTATACAAGTACTTCCTTGGTTCCATTCGTTACCATCGACCATACCTTAGAGTTCCGCCACTCGTAACTAATCTTGGTTTCGTACGCCATCTTTTAGGCTTTCCTCTTTTTTGACATCCTTTTTCTATCGGTCTATTCGGAATATTTCTACATTTTAAACGGTTACTTTATAACACATAATCTTGTATATTTGAAGTATAGGGAGAAGGTGGTATTACGGAACCCCAATTACATTATAGCGAATTGTAAACGAGGTATGGTAACTACACCCACATTTTTTGTGCGAAAAGTACCGGTAATTGTTAAACTAGATGTTCCTAATTGGATTTTTCGCCAGTGTAACTATAAGTACGGTTTTTGGAGGTTTTTGTACAAAAAGTCAGAAAGTAGGTTTAGGGAGAATCGGGTTGTAATACGGAACCTTACCGTACGTTTTCAAAAAATGCTTTAATGTATGCGAAAACAAATAGGAAAGTACAAAGAACGTTGAATAATTACAAAATTATTTACTCCAATGTATTTTATGGAAAAAATGCTTTTATAATAGAAAAAATATGACCTCCGTCGACGATATATATTCCGGCAGCTCTTTTTCGATATTCTCGGGAAGAATTGGCTTTTTCACAAATCGCTCCGGACGAATGTCCGCTAGCGAAGAGTTCGGAGGAGTCGGGTTACGTATTAACGGCACCAATAAGGTCCGTATTTCGCGCATCGCCGTCTCGAATTAACTTACGTCTGTTGAGACCAAATATTAAAAAACGTTAACATCGCGCGGATTAATACGTACCCCTAAGTCTCTGCAACGGAATGCGCGCACCGGCCAACCTACAACTACAAGATTTATATTTTAGAAATAATTAAATTCGCTTACCATACAAAACTTTCGAATTTCGAAAAACTCAAATTTGCCGATTCACTACGGACAACCGTTTAACTAAAGCGAAACGGATTTTTCCCTCGCTACGGATGTCTGCCTAGCGCGGTTCGCCTTTATTATCGGTTCGAATGGGGGGTTCCATAATATTATCTTTTCCTCTATATTTTTTATCGTAAGTCTATTGATCTTTTTCTTTTGTTATTTGTATTTTAATCTTTGTTACGGGCGTTATTTTCGGGGAGGATATCAATTGTCTTATGTTCCTTCTGCGTATGCAATAAATAAATAAAAGTATTTGATTCGCGTATCGATCCGATTCCGAAAGATATCTCGAGTCGCCGTCTTTCTGGAAGAATCCGTACCGGGCATCGCCGCCTTCAAAAAGTGATTTGTATTAAGTCGCATTTAATTCCGGAAATAGTCGCGAGAGGGCGACAGTCGGATGGAGTATTTAACTCGTAACGCTCGACTGCAGTCGGAGAAGGCCACAGGCCACCATGCATCCAGAAAAGCACATACGAATACTAGAAAAGTTTATTTCACGGACGGGTCGCTTCACCTAAGGAGGTAGCGCCGTTCTTCGGAGAAAAAGCAAACTAAGGCTGTGATCTCCGTATGAACAAGGAGGGAGAAGAATAGAATAGAATGTGCAGTAGGAGAATCGCTCTGATTTTTTTTTTTGAATTATATTATTAAATGTGTGATTTAGAAAGAAAAAGAAAGCAGAATCGCTCATCGGAGAAAAAGCATATTAAGGCTATAATCTCCCTATGAACTGGGGAGGAGACGAAAGAAAGTCACGTTGCAGTCGGAGAAGAGAGCCAACTAGGCTAAAGTCTCCGTATCGAACAACCTAGAACTCCCCGACGAACAACTTATAACGCGTATAACTGGCACGAAATTTCGATTTAACTATTTTGTCGGATGGGCCATAATTTCCAGAAATAAAAATCTTGTAATATTTTAACTCTCTGGCCAGGATTCCTCCAAATTTTCCTACATTAGTATTAAAAATTAGTGACGAGAACGTGGATCGAATGGCTTTAAACTTACGATTATAGCAATCTTTTTTGAAATAATTTAAAATAAGAATACGCGTCTCTCCGAGCGGCTGTTTCATCAGTGACGGTTTGAACGTCGCTCTAGCCGGGAAGCGACACCAGAGTACAGTATAGAGAAACGAAAGTCCGGTCTTCCGGCATAATATTATGTGATTTACCGTAACGTAACGTTTTCAGAAATCTTTAAAATAATTATTTACATTCAAATTTACTTAGTGATGGGGGAACATTCCGAAATTCGACGTAACCCACGTCTTAACAGTTCGTTTTCTGTCCTATCGGACCCTTCCCGTTGCCGACGTTAAACACTTTGTAGTGTTTTGTTGAAATCGATTCGCAAACGGTCTTCCAGATTTCGACATCCATCCTCGAAAAAGAACACCGAGCAGGAAATGACACGGCAAAGTTCGAAGCTCGGTAAGAGCATTTCGATTCAGAAAAAACAAAATTCTCCTTTCGAGGCAGTCGGAACCAGCTACAGGTGGGCGTTTCGAAGGACCTTATTCTTCTTCCCGCTCGGTAATTTTCCACCCCCGAAGTTCGCCCCTCGTAATTACTAGTCCTACCTTCTTTCCGCAACGATAACGACCTTTCTCCATCCCGCGAGGGATCTCTCTCTCGAAATCATCAATTTTTGTTTTGACAAAGGTTCGGTTCTTAAAAATTCACACGAGAATTTTAAACGTTGTCATTTAACCATTGAAATTTCGTGGGAGTAATTAATGCCAATTTTGTAATCGGCGATCGTCGCGAAACGATGCGTCATCGTAGCGCGTTTGCACTTCTAAGAAACGCGTATGACGAAGCCCGACGTCGAAGGTGACAAATCGATTTTTTTACGAGCGATTGTCGAGTTTACGGATCGATAAACGGGAGTTATGGCAGGAAAAACACATAGGAAGGAACTGCTTCCTTTCTTTTGTCGAGAGTTTCCCGTTGTGCCTGTGGAATGTGGGCACGACGTTTCCCATTGTCAGGTAGTCGGACTCGTGTTCTAAACTGAGTCACCCGCTAATCCCTCCCTCCCTCCCGAATTGCGGGTACCGGTTTGGTCTACAACCAGGGTTCTCCTTTAAAGGGCCTCTCAATCGGTATTTTGACTAATTGCGGCTTCGGGCAGAATCTCTCGTTTTTTACGAACCTCTTCTTAATTACGAGCGGCGGCGTTCCCGTTTCCGATCGGGGATTTTCCCTATTCGGTAAAATTTCCCCCGTGTTCGAATGGAAGAATAATCCCTGACTACCGCGTCGCGATTCGTTTAACACGGACGAAGCGATAAAATTATGTACTTTTTAAATCGACCGGCAATCTTTAATTAATTTGAGAGCAAAAATGGGGCCGATTACCACCGCAAAACCCGGTATTAACTCGGAGCAATTAGTGTCGTAATTAATCTAACCGTTGCACCGACACTTAAACTATTTAAAAAAATTATATAATTGCATTTACAATTATGTAATTAAAACAGGACAAAATTAATTAAAGTCTCGCTCGATTAATCCTGTCGGGGAATTTATATTGTTTTATCCCTAAACGACTTTTTTAAAGATACATTTTACGAATTTTCGACGTTTAAAAACTTCAGGGAAATTGCGGAGGTTGTAATTATTTTGACAAATTGCGTGTTTTGATGTAAAATGGCTACAACATTAATTAGGCCTACGAAAATAGAAACTAATAACAATTCTAAACGATACGATTTTTGTGTCAGAATATCAGAATAAAGTAATTGAACTGAAAAAGTCAATAAATTTAATTTTTCTCAAAATTTCTGTAGAAGTTTTTTCCAGGTTTTTGTTAAAGGACGAAAGAGGGACTTTTAGGGAGAAGCTGACGAAAACAAAAAAGGTGGGCGATCCTTTTAAAAAAGAAAATTAAACGTCGTGTTTGGGTTTCACTTAGGAAAGTTCCGGCCGTAAATTATAAATAAACGTAACCGAATCGCGTTTATAAAGTAAGAGTTAAGACTATTCGAGATAAGACTTCAGAAAAAAACGTAAAACGGGAATATTCTTTCTTATCTACCAGAAAAAAAAGACATTACTTCGCTATTCGGGTAGGAAAGGGCGTATTCCTCCAAAGAAGCCCGTTATCCCCGGGCTATATACGAGTAGAGGGGATAAAATGCCACCGGACGGAGCAGGGAAAAGCAATTTCCCCCCTTTTCCCTTACACGGATCAAATTTTCCCCCCGCTACTGGTTAAATGGACCAGAACGTGTTTTTGTTCGCCGACGCCAAATTTACGCGACTCTATCGTCGTCTTTTCTTAGTTTAGGGAAGTGTTTGTTTAAATCCAAGATCACGTTTCTAGTTTAGAGGTCGAATAAAGACACTCCTCTCGTTCTTTCCCTTGAATACATAATGGGAGGAAGATGGCGAGTCCGAGGTTTGTTTACTGTTTTTTGTAGAACCTCCGAACAAACCCGCTTCTATATTTAAACCGGAGAAGTATTTAAAGATGCTGAGATAAATAGAATATTTGTGTCGTCGGCAGATTTTCCCACACCCCCCGAAGGTCGCCTCCTCCGAAATAACTGGTCCACTAAAACTCCATCCCTTCGAGATAATTTACGAAGTCGTCTGACACTTCTAAAACTGTCAACGGTCTCCTTAAAATCTGGAAAAATATCCCTCTAGAGGAATTTTTTTAATAAAACAATGAAACATATCGAGGTAAAATCGGAATTTTATCTGATATTCCCTCGGGGAATATTCATCGTCTTTCGCTACTTTTCTACCGATAATTCTGGGACATTTAAACGAGGAACATCAGCTTTTAGGGAATGTTGGTGGCTTTTTACATCTTTAAATATCTAACAATCGTTCTAAAGTCGATTTTGTACATAAAAAACTCGAATTATCGATAACGTTTAAAAATATACCTACCAGAATTCGGTAGATTTAACTTAACGCGGCACAGGTCGTTTTTATATAAATTATTCCCGATTACATCTAATTCCTATACACCGTCAGACCAAGAGAAAGAGGGGGAGAAGGCAAAGAAGATGAAGACAGGCGATCCACCTCGAGAGCGATTCGGGAGCGTCCGACTGGACCGCTTCCGGTTCCACCGTATTCCACTTTTCCCGGCAAGTGTCGGTTACAGTCTGATGACAGGGATAATCCTCCACCCCTCTACACTGACACTCGAACATCTCTCGAGAGCGATCCAAGGAGCGAAGGATGTCCAAACTCCTTCTACACGAGTCGCTACAGGTACCTAGATGCACGACAGAAGCGCAATGGCTCCTGTAATATCCCAAGGCTCTGGAACAATTATAATCCGAGGCACACACCCAGGAGGCTTCTCCGCAGTCTTTGGCTTCGTCTTCTTGGGTGCAGGACTTCATGGTGTTCGTGCTTAGAAGGCAGAACTCGTCGTCTCCGCAGTTACAGTCCATCAGGGATTTTCCCGCTCGAGTCTCCGTCAGGTGTCGAACGCTTTTCTTGCACACTTCGCTGCAACCCAGGCTTCTGCCTGCCATAAAGTCCCCGCAGTCGATCATGTAGGTGTGCAAGGAGCCGCTACATTCCGTGTCCGAAGAGCAGGCGTTCTGTGCCGAGTCGCAGGAACTTCTCGTCGCCTGTGATCTGCCGAACAAAATCCAAACGAAGAGGACGATCATGTCGGGCGGGCGGCATCCGCCTGGCGTCCGTCTTTCCCGCGAACTGACTCGTGTAGGGGTGCGAGGACGCCTCGAGGGAGTCGGCCGCGCTGCAGACGACCAATGGAGTCGTTTCGCAACCGCACAGCCTATTTACTAATGGAGAGAGAGAGCCGGACCCGTCCACTTTTAAAACCGAGAATCCTCCATCCGCGACTCTCGTGGGAAACTCGATCGACCGAAATCCCCCTACCGGCAAAAAAGAAAAAAGTAATAAAATAAAACCCGTCGAACCACAATCCGTTTAGGGATTTTACCTGCACTTCCAAGATTTTTCCCCCGCTACACCTGTAAACCGTGGTTACGCCGACCGGATTGGCCAGCGGGCCGATCGACCGTAACTAAACTTTATGTAGACTGTGACGCGGTCCGGTCGCGGTCTAAATAAAGTTTGGAGAGAGAGTGGAGACAAGCTCTTCCTTTTGTCGAAGCGTTTTAATGGTCTTAAAAATACAAAAGGTACAAACCGTCCTCGTATAAAGAAACCAGACCATCGTCTGCTACTGTACGGAAAAAACTCGATTAGGAGGGAAATTTCCCTTTGTCCTGTATCAAAACTTAAAATTTCGCAATACTACGCTAAGATAAATTGGAATAATCGATGTTAATAAACAACACGGTTAATAAAAAAAATGTCATACTTCCAGCTTATAAATAATTGATAACGCATTATATGCGGAGGAAGCTGGGCTTCTCCACAATATAAACAGGATGTAGGGTAATATAAAACAGATGCGAGGAGCATTTGTTATCCGGATCGATGCCCGTTCTATAAATATATTTAAACGATGACACACGGCCTTCTACTAACCACGGCAATTGGTCTCCGGAGGGTGTCCTCATCAGCTGTCCCACGAACTCCGCGATAGTTTGAAGACTAATCTGTGAAAGGCACGACGAACCAACAGAACAAAAAAATATGCCAAAATGACGGAAGCGGCGGTGACCAAGAATCCCGCCGCCTCGAAAATCAACTTTGGCGAAAAGATCTTCCACACCATCAGATGTCTCCGGAGGATGAAACAGGAAACGGCCGCTCCCGACAGCTGTAAAAATACAAATTTGTAAATGTGTCCGCTTAGATCCCTGCGCTAATTACTGCCTATTTTAAATCATATTCTGGATAGATAATTTGATTTTTTTTTATGGTAAGAGAAATTCTTTATCTTCTGGAGATGTGGAAGATGAGAATAAGAAATTTTCATTTCTAACACACTATAAACAATAGGACAGAAATGAAGATTTCCCATTCTCTAATAGAAAAGTTCTGTTCTTTCCAAATTTTGGCCAAAAAGAAATATGGAAAAAGTGTGGATCTTCCATCTATCCAGAGCATATGAAGTTTAAATTTGTCAAATAATTCCTAAATCCTAAATTAATAAGATGATGATAACATATTGATAGAGTTCATATCCAAACTCTAAACCTGACTGGGATTTTATACAATATTTATTGTTTATTTAAATACTATTCTGAAAGCTTAACAGGTACTATATAAAATTATTATATATATACAGTATATAATCTCTGAAATAAGGATGAACAATGCTTGCAACTACCTGATGCTGGTATTCTTTATTAAATATTTTGAAATTTTTGGAAGGGGCGAGCCTTAAATTGTTGGTACTTGTGGATAGTCTTTTGATGTTGCTTTTTTTATGAATTAATGGTGATGGACGTAAAGCTATGATTTCCTAACATGCATTTCTTTATCTATAATATTTTAAAATTATTAATAAATGTTAATTTTTATGTCACAATGAAGACCTTTAATAATTACTAAACATGATATAAAACATAAAATAGGATAATAATTAGAAATCAGAGAATGAAAGCAAAATGTTTGCCAATAAACTATCAAATATTCCGTAACTGAAGATGTAGAAATACTTAAAAACATTTATTACTAACTATATTGTAACGGTATTAATCTGACAGAAAGGTCTTTGTGAAAATTTACAGTTTCCATACCGTTATCTTGTGTTTACCAACCAAATTTATTTTGGTTCTTCTCCCGATGTACGTTATCCCATCCCAACTTGCTAAGCTGTCTAAAAATAATCTAATTTGTCAATTTTTTTGCATGCCGACTTTGATTTCCCGAACGTGTCTTGTATATCTCGGAGAGAGGACTCTCTACGTGTCGTTGAGATATACGAGACGCCGATCGTCATTTAAAGACTACTTGGTCACTTCTAAAGTATAAAAAAAAACCTGATAAATCCTTTGGCAGATGGAATATTTTCACATACATGTTCTTGAATTATTTTTAATCATTTAAAATAACCATAAATCCTAAGAGAATGGTAAGATCCATAAAGACTTTTTAACTTAAAAATTGTTTTTGAATGTAAATGTTATGTTGANTTACATTGACGACTAACAAATGACCCAGATAGAGTAGCCATTTTGTAAAAATACAGCGCCCTCTATAGTTCATGAAAAACGCGAATAACGTTTTCTTCGTTTATAAAATATATTCAATTATTAATATTTGTGATTAGGCTTACCAGACGTTCCGCTTTGACAGGGTCTGTCCCGGTTTGATGACGCGGTCTCTGCGTCCCGGTTACTTACTTGATAAAATTTTAAAAGTGCCGAATATACAAGAAGTAAAAATAGTGCAACCCGGGGTAAGATGGCGATACGACAACTAAACTGTCCCCTCTGTTACACTCACTGTTGCCAATCTAAATGTCTAGATGTTTTCCCTCAAAATTTATATCGTGTGGCCTAATGAATTTACATGTTTTATTTTTCAACCACATTTTTTCACAGAATTTGTAATAGCGTGTAGCCTATGAAATGCAGATATTTTTATTTAAATTTTAGATATTTTGTTTCAATTAGAGTTGGAAACACTGAAACTTACACTGGCACGTCATTGTCGCGTACGTCCTATCTTATTCGACTCGATATTTGCCATTATTTCGTGCTGCGCATTAAATTAATCTCCAAAATGCCAAAAAACTGCGCGTTTACTGATAAATTAAAAAAGGATTATCCGGTTTTGAGAAAAGTTTGTGATCGTATTGACAAAGCGAAATGTGAACTGTGCTTTTCAGAATTTTTTGTGAGCGTTCGGACATTAAAAATTACTTGAAATGTGCGAAACATAAGGCAAACCTAGTAGCAGCGGAAGAAACTTCCTCAAATATATTGTCATGTTTTTATTTTCTGTTGTATTTTCTGAAAATTCTTCCGGTTTAAGAAAAAGATATTATGGTAAGCCTATTTTTGATGGAAGGTTCTACGGGAAAAAATCGAATGCGGTAAGTCCAATTACTCGTACTTTTATATAAATAAGTAGAATATTACGGCTCGAAAGCTTAACCGCGTTGTCAATGTAGCGTTATTCGTTTTGCTGGTATATTCTTTTATCTTTCTTGTAATATGTTTAGTAATTATCGCCCTCCCAAAATGGTCACGCTCTTCTTCCTTACCCGTGCCCGAAAGATATTCGCTTTTTACCAACGAGGTAAAAAGCGAATATCCCGAACCGGCCGCCATCTTTGAATCGAATCGAACGTGCGTCCGCCACGACACACTGGAAGAAAGAAAGCTGCGCACCTGCAGGAAATAGCTACTACAGATACGACTGTTCGTCACTTAAATACACAACTTTCGGGTCTAATTTGCAGAACCGATAAATAATATAATAAACGAAATACAGTGATACCCCGAACTTACGCGATAGGTGGGACCGAGCGATAACCGCGTAAGTCGAATTCGCGTAAGTCGGGGTATAATTTCGCATATAAATACATACAAATAATTTTTAATTGGGGCCGGAGACTAAAGAAAACAATAATTTAGAAAAAATGTTTAATAAAATCTTAGATAATACATATGTATAACAAATTAGGCCTATATTATTTTACAATTTTTCACATTTA